AATATTTATCACATGAGATCATCAATTAAAACAATAAATAAACATCGCAATGCTGATTTTTTAATTAACATAATATATTGAAGAATAGACGCTGGTATAAAATTACAAAAACGAACAGTATCTTCTTGTTGAGACGACAAATTAATTAATGAAACTAATTAGTTAGGTAAGATAATGTAAAGATTATGATATTAGAGGCACCAACAATTATTTACTCTCGCCAACATGGAAAATGTTACTCAATCTACACTCTACGTAGAGCACCCCATGCTAGGCCACCTACCACTATGAGACATCTACATTCATGTTGGGCCATCTACTGTAACGAGACTCTATGTCCACGCTGGCCTTCGATCACTATGAGTTCCTCTACTCACATCCTAGACCGAGGCCCATTCATGTTGGGTTGTCTACCCCTACAAGGTCCTCTACATCAACGCTGGCTTTTGACCACTATAAGGCCTTCCACTTGCATGCCAGACCATCTACCACTACAAGATCAATGTAACACTTAACCATAAAAATATCATTGAATTGGATGGGAACCATTCAACGGTTATCATGGACACAACCAACCGTTGGATAGGTGGAGGTCTTCCACTCAGAACGTAGGGGTGGTAGGACAGTGGCACGATAATCGCCCAACAATTGCATGATTTTAGACACCTATAAATACTCCTAAGGCAAGATAGGTATAGATCTTAAAACTCAGGCTATTTGAATACGAATTGGATCTTTTCTTCCTAAAACTACATTCTTAAACCCCTCTCTAATTCTCACGCCGGAGGTAAAACGGGGGAAAAATCCCTACCTCATTTCATAGGTAGCATTTGTTCATCGAAATAACAGAAGCACCTTGCACCGCCAGGAGGGCACGGAGGCTTGTTTCATAACCATATCGATATGAAAAAGCTTTTTAAATAAATATTAATTGGATCAATAATTTGGAAAAAGTAGAATACATAAATACAAAATTTGTCTGATTAAAACATAATAAATATTTCGCAGTTTGAGTCACAGAGTGTATATAATAATGTCATTGGGTTTGTAATATCGGCGAAGAATCGGCCTTGTTTATCTCTTGGAGTTTCTCGCTATCTCTGCCTAATTCCTAAACCTCAGCCGCAAGAATTGGCCTTTTTCATCTGTCTATTTTATTTTACTCAAACTAAAAATTTTAATATATTGGACCAAATAATGTTATTCACGGTGAAGTCACCCTACTTGATGTACACATGATATTTAATTATTTGACGCATTAATAATGTGAACTACCCTCTCTTTTATCTGTTGAATTACACACAAGGACAATCAGTTCAAAGATACATAGCAGGCAGGTAATTATGTGAACTGAAAAATATAGTTAGGACTTGTTCGGCTAGTATGTACACTTGTCCCCTTTGGTTTTTTGAACTACCTTCAGTAAAACGTTGAACGGTTAGAGAAAGGACACTCTAGTTATGCGATCACGTGGAGCTACTTTATCTAAAAGTAAAAACGTATATTCATTTAAATATGGTATTCAATGCACTGTATCGATTTTTTCGCCCGCCAAACAAGTCATAAGCAAATGACCAAACAGAAAGAAAAAGTCTCACTTCTCAATCTGCAAAGTTGTTGGCACTTTATTTAAATCACCTAATAACAAGTGGCAATTTGGAAACCAAGATCCTTTATAAAATCCACTCTTACAAGACACATTACTGATTATCCTATAGAGAGAAAAAAGAAAAAAATAAAAATGGCTGGCTCTTCATCTCTCAAAACCCTCAACTCCCTTCATATTTTCTCCATGAAAACTTCTTCTTCCTTTAGCTCCATGAAAATGAAAACCCTACTGCAAACTTTCATTCTCTCACACTTGTACCGCATTGCTCGTGCTCTCGCGAAAGCTAAAGCAATTCTAGTTGAAGTTCTTAAAGATCTTCAACTGGTTCACTTTATACAATTCCCAGCCTTGAAACGAAACAAGAATAAGCACAAACTCTTTTTTGGTTCATTTCGATTGCACTACAATTGGTGTTCTTCTCATGTCATGCCGGTGCTGGAAGGTTGCTCCGCTGATCATGATTACTATGATTCCACCAGGAATTCGATTATTCCTACGCCTGAGCACGAGGGTTCAGAGCTTTCGGCGTATCTCCGGTGGCTTGAGGAGAAGAGTCATGAGAATCCCAGCAATGAAATTGATCGACTTGCCGATTTGTTCATTCAGAACTGCCATGAGAAGTTCAGGTTGGAGAAACAAGAGTCTTACAGGAGATTCCAGGAAATGATGGCTAGAAGTATATGAGCTAGCTAAGCTAGGTTCCTAATTTTTTACTTTATTTTTCCATTGTTGGTTTCTGTCATATTGACTGGAGTAGAGTTTTGGGGTGGGTGGGGTGCATGGTTTAAATCTTGTGTTCTTTGGTTCTTTCTTCATCTATGGATTGTGGGTGTGGAGAATTGTACATGATGGGGCAGTGAAAATTGTGCAATTCTATGTTAAATTATAATAACTTTTTACAAATTGCATTGGTAGTAGGGAATTACATTTAGATTCAGTTAAGAGTTGGATCTTTAACTATTTAATGCTATATGACTTGCAGCTTTTCTTGTATTTATGAATGGATGGTAACTATATATTTTTTATTTTTTTTTCCAAAGTGTAAATCCATAGAAATATAAGACTGCCTTTTCATTCAATGCCTTCACTTTCACTGAAAAAATTGCATGCAAAGCCACTCATTACCCTGCCTGCAGTCTCCAGTGCTGTCCAAATTTGTTTATGTACTTTGTTGTTATTTTCGGGGCATATGTCCATTCTAGTGTCACACAAAAAAGAAAAGAAAACCATGTGGAGCTCCTTATCACTGACTGGTACAGATATTTTAACCACAACAACATATTTGAATTGCTTAATAAAAGGTAATATTCGATAACCTTTTTTTTTCCTCAATCTCAATGAATAGAAATAAACTTACAACGTTGGATTTATATTACAACTTTTCAAACCACCAAAAACATAACTTTTGTTGAGATTTAAAGATCGACTATTAAGAAAGAATTAAGCCTTAGTTAGGGGTGGATGACCAACTACAATTTTGTATTTTGTTATAATTCACAATAAAATAAAAGAAAAAAGAGGTGGGATTAACGAGCTAATTAATAGCTACTAGGTGGAATGAAAAGTAAAGCAAGTTCTTGAACGCTGAATTTATCTATTCAACATAGTCAAGTAGAGCGATCTCCTTGTACACCATCATACTTACAAGAACGGGTAAAACAAACACATTAGACACTGTGTGGCGGACTTGGTCACCATTCACGCACTTCATTCGGGATAAATCAGTTGATCGAGCTGAATTTGCTGGTCCCCCGTATCCACTTTGGCTTCATTGCAGGTAAAATGCATAATTGAAAGCTATCTGTGGAAAATATAACCCAATTAGAAATATAATCAAACACAAAAGCTGATTATAATTAACACATTTATGCTAACACCTGTAGCTTAAGGTCACTACAAAAGGCAGCAACTGAAAATATATTAATTATCAGGATTTATGTACACAAATTTTGTGTTGGGATATGATACAGTAATTTAAATAGTCTAGGCTGGCTAAGGTACATCAATTTATAATTATTGTATTGGTCCTACGTGCATTAAATGAGACCAAGTAAAGTTAATTAGTAATTTTCACATGACATGCCCATTTCGTGCCCACATTGGACGAAAAACAAAACAACTCCCATCACTTGACCTCGCTAACGAGTCACATATGTGTGAAAGATATATTGATGTTCGGTTCACAATATTAATTAGACTTGGCAGAATAACGGATAAAATTTTGAATTCTTTTTTATTATTATCAGTAATATAAAGTGCTGTCACAAAAGTATAGGAAATGGATAAATTATAAGAACAATTAGTCAATAAAATGCTTTTAAGATGCCTTTGGATTTGTGGCATATATTTATAATTGATAAGTATCTTGTTGTTCACTCTTGTTTCCTCACTTCGGGTACTCTTTCCTGCTTTTGGAGAGAGAGAGAGAGAGATATGAACAGGTTCCTTTGGTCTCCTTATCTTTTATTTTTTGAATTTTGTCTACGTAAAAAGGTTCCTTACCGAATTCTAATTTTGTTTTTCACAAACCCAATAAAAAGTTATATGGAAAGGAAAAAGATGATGCAACCACTAATTTTGCTAAATTCTTGGGCAATTAGCACAAAACGTCCCAATTGTTTATAATCATTGCGTAAATCGTCCATATCATTTCAAATTTGGCAGTAGCACCTTCAATTGAACATTTTCTTATTGAATTGGTCATTTCTGTTTCCTTCTATCAAATATGGATAATTGGTGCAAAATGTCCCTATCGTTTGCCTTTATTGCACAAAAAGTCCTCTTTGTTTACCTTCATTGCCAAAAAGGTATTTACCATGCATCCACCTCCTCCATCAAAAATAATTAAAAGAGAAGTAGAAGCATAAAAAATGTAAGAAAAGAATTAAAAGTAGAAAAACAAAAAATTTTAAAAATAAATAAATGATTTTTCTTCCCAATCCAATTCCGCACACTGTCACCGGCCACCGCCATCACTACTCATTCTCCCCCATCACACTCAACACCATCCAGGGGTTTAGCTATTTTCCTTTAATCAAGTTTTATGTTCCAATATCCTTTTGTTTTCAGCAAAGCTACAAGAGATTTTTTAAGAATTTAGCTATTTTCAACAAATTCTTGTTTATATCTTCTTGTTGTTGATTATATATAAACACACTGCATTAATTTTTAAATTTTACTCTGATTTTGTTCAAGTTTCTTTTGCCTCACAAAATTATGTTTGTAGATGTGATTTCTTCTTTTATTAGATTGTTCATTAGCTTGTTTGGTAGGGATTTTTTAGGGGAAGAATTGATTTTGAATAGTAATATGATGGGAAATGTGTGGTTGAAAAAGAAGAAAAAATTATTGATATGATAGAAAATATTATTTT